TTTTAATTTGAATATATTTTAAATAATGTACTCATATGAGTGTACTTAAGTGGGTTTAGTATTGTATTTTAACTGTTGGTTTTATGTGTTTTATTTTTAATATTTAATTTTAATATGCTTACCTCACCTCAAGCCTTAAGGAGAGGTGGGAAATCAATATATAAATATGTTGTTGTTGTTATTTTCTCAAATATGTGCTTAATGCATATTGCAATAAATTTCATTCAGGCCAGCTAAATGAGATTGATTGCTTTCAGCTGTGCTATTAATGCTATAGTATACTGCAATTGTTAGCATTTAAGATTTTGCTCTAGATATCGCAGAATTACTTTTCTAATTAACCAGAAACAGTGGTGCTTTTCTGCTGGCTTCATATTTTGCTAACATTTCAGTTTTTTTAATCCCTCAACAAGTCGATCCTTCATAATGTAAATATGTTTAATGGCAGATGAACTTGAACTGTCAAGGATTTATTTTTCCCTTCCTGTCCCTAGGTTTCTGAACTTACAAATACAATATATTTTAGTATATTTCTGATATCTTTGTTAAAAGTATTTCTAAGAAAAATATCCATTTATTTTGCAGTGAAAGGGGGAATACTGTTCCTGGATATGATTTTTTGGTAAATTCTGTGTGGCCAGAGATTGTTCGTGGTTTAGAAGTTAAATTGCCATCCCTGTTTAATCCTGGAAACCCAGATGCATTTCATGAGGTAATTTTAAATTAATCACATCTTTGATCTTATAAAGCATTGGGGACAGACCTTTACATTAAAATATGTATAGGGAAAAGAAGATTTAATCTCAAATGCTCAGCTTCAGCCACTAGCAGCCATGTCATAGTTTGGAATTTTTATAAATGAGCATAAAGGAGATATAAAGTATTTAGTAACATGAAGTGATCCTGAGCAAGCATCATTTGGTCTACCTCTGCACCAGGGCTTTTGCCTCTCTGCTGCTGCTATTGTTAGCAGTAGCAGTAGCAACTACATTTCTATACTGCTTATCAGTACACTTAAGCACTCCCTAAGTGGTTTACAATGTGTAAGCTAATTGCTCCCATCAAGCTGGATACTCATTTTACTGACCTCAGAAGGATATAAGGTTGAGTTGACCCTGAGCCACTGGCTGGTATTGAACTCACAACATTATGGTTTGTGAGTGAGTGGCATTTAACCACTCACCACCAGAGCATGTTGTTGTTGTTGTGTGCCTTCAAGCTGTTTCTGACTTCTGGTGACCCTAAGGGAAACCTATCACAGGGTTTTCTTGGAAAGATTTGTTCGGGGTGGGGGGAGGTTGCCTTTGCCTCCTTCTGAGGCTGAGAGAGTGTGTCCTGCCTAAGGCCACCTAGCTCTGTGTTTGAGCGGGGATTCAAATCCTGGTCTTTAGAGTGGTAGTCCAATGCTCAAACCACTACACCATTCTAGCTGCCTATCCAATTAAATAATAATCTTCGCTCTGACAACACAGAAAGCTGTCACGACGCTCAGTAAAACTTACAAAGATTCACACAAATACAAAAAAAATTTCATTATCCTAAAAATAATGAAAGTAGATGGATGAATGAGACTAACAAGGAAAATAAAGACATTTTTAGGCTTTTTGTCACTACTCAGGTTGCCTTTGTAAGACACCATTTTGATCTTCCTTAATATAGTGGAACTTAATGGTGCATAAATATTCAGAGGATCTGGCTACGTATAATAAAAAGAATTAACACTGAAAGTATGGTTGACTCTCAGTATCTGCAGATTTGCCATCCGCAGATTCAAGCATCTGAGGACTGCATGTCCACGTTGTCCCCAATGGCAGCGCGTGCATGCGGCCGTGCCACCATTAAGCCCCATTGTCCCTAATGGCGCAGCCACATGCATGGGCCACTACTGGGGGCTGGGGGCTGTCCCTAATGGTGGCGCAGCCATGTGCAGATGCCGCCATGGAAGTCCCATTTTCCCTAATGCCAGTGCAGCTGCATGCACAAGCTGCTATTGGGGACAACAGAACAAGCATCCGCCGATTTTGGCGGATCCTCTGTGGGTACCAAGGGCTGACTGTAATACCTTTGTTTTATCACTGTGAATAATAAGCTGAATGAGACCTGCTCTCATGATTGTAATGGTAGATAGCATCATGTTATTTCAGTATCTTTCTGTAAAGGAAGTTTGGTATGCAACTTAATGTACACCTTCCATCTTCAGAAATACACTATAAGCATGGATTTTGTAAGAAAATTTGAACGGCAGTGTGGTTCACAAGCCAGCGTGAAAAGGCTGAGGTTGCATCCCTCATACCAGAGCTTTAATGATAAGTGGAATTTGCCTGTTTATTTCCAAATAAGGTTAGTATTTTCAGCTTTATTTTAAGGGAGCATGAACTGCATATTTTATGATAATTGGAATGCTTTGGGGGGGATTAAAATATTACTGTGTTTTGAAACATACATTCTCTCACTGCCTGCAAAAAAATAGAAATGAAAAGCAAGATAAAATGCCCTTTGGTTTTATGACATGTAGCCCTTTCAAGCAGCTTGCCCTATATCTGGAAAGTCAAAAGCAGGCCAAGGTGTCCACATTTAGGGGAATGAACTTGTACTTTGCTATCTCAGTTATCATATCACCTAGGACTGGAGTAGACCAGTTTTCATATCTTGTACATCATTGGTTCTGGGCTGTTTTCTATTTTGTCAGCTTTTTTTCAGTGAGGGGGAATGTGGATTGAACAGGAATTGTTTCTCATATTGGGTTGTTTATTTAACAGTAACTCCATTTTATTCCTATGATGTATGCCTTGGGAATGTTGCAGACTGGTACAACTGTTAGTGTAGCAAGTAATACATTTTACATAGCCCTTCTCCCCAAGTGCTCATTCAATTATACATTTATATCCTGCCTGACTTTCCTTGTGGAACTCAAATGGCCTACATGGCTTTCTGAGGTTTCCCATCCATGCATTCTGTTGCATAGTCAAATGCCCAGAATAATAAGCTCTGTCCCCACCCCCCCGGCAAAACACACACACACATTTTTCTTCCTTAATTTGCTAAACTTTTTCCCCGTTGAATCTTTAGTGAAATATATCTTTTTGTGTAGAGTCTTTGTTTCCCAAGCACAATAACTGGATAGAAGGTATCTGCTGAACTATTAGGAGGCAGGGTGGATCGATGTTAAACATTTAGACCATGACCACCAAAGCACCTTGTCTATTTACTAGCAAAGTAATCCTTCAGGTTATTTAAAGATGTAGCCTTGTTAGTCTGTAGAATTAATATGTATAGAGATTTTGTAGTACCTTTGAGAGTAACTGGGGGAAAAAAAAGGTTTGTAGCATGAGCTTTCATAGACTTTAGTCTGCTTCTTCAGATGCTTCTGGTGGATTGAAAGTCAGGGACAGATAGGAGTACAGGAGTTTAATTGAAGGTAACTGAAAAGGAATGTAGCCAGCATGGTTAGAACCCATGAGCATTACATGATACACATAGGTCCTTAGGAAAGACATCTCGTTGTTTGCACTTGCTGAGAAAGAAGATATCTGTATTTGGGCAAGTTTTTTGAAGAGGTTGATGGATTTTCACTTCATTTGGCTAAATTTGGTAGTGGTAGATTTTAAAAATATAGCCGTGTTAGTCTGTATAATATGTATAGAGATTTTGTAGTACCTTTGAGACTAACTGGAAAAAAAGAGGTTTGTACCATGAGCTTTTGTAGACTTTAGTCTAGTTCACCTTTAGGTTATTGTAATTTTCAGATAAGACACTGTTTTCACACTGTTTTCCTCTATTTCTCCTTTTATGAAGATAGATCAGAGTGGGAAATGCCCTATTGAGTGGAACTGAGGGAGCTGTATATAGTTACATTGTTCAGAGAGGATGAAAGATAGAGAATAGATTAAATGTTGTCTTTCATTATACTTTTTTTTATAATTCACAGCACTTTCATCCGATAACATAGATCTTTTAAGCCAAAATAAAATATATTTGTTGTTTTATCACATAACTTGCCTGTTCTTACGTCCACTATTCTTAAACTGAATAGAGTGATAAGTAGTTATGAACCATTCCTCATAGAAATGCTGAATCATATTTAGTAGAATACTTGCACAAAATCAGTTCAGGTATGTGAATAGCAAGACATCCTTCCCCATTATGAATTAAAATAATTATGCTGCATTTCATAACTACGATTATTTTTCACACATGGATTGATGAAGTTTTACTGGCAGCTGGTGTGGTATAGTGTTTAGAGGTTTGGTTAAGACTAGGGAAATCCAAATCCCTACTGAGTCACGAATCTGCATGGACTTGGGCCAGTCACACACCTCCCCTTAATATCCTACCTTTCTGCCAAGGGTGGGACAAATGGTGGCTCTGTTTACCTGCCTTACTTCACAAGGTTGTTCCAAGGAAGAGAGATAGGTACATCATGTTGGGCTCATTTCAGGAGGGGCAGGATCCCAATATTACTTGTAAATAAATATTCTAGCTATGGGTATGTACAATGAGCAATTATTTTTTTAAAATAATATCTGAAATAAACGTATATTAAAGAATTAGTTGGGAAGGGTTTGGTGGTCTCTAAAAACTAACAACATATTATTATGCTGAACAGAGATGATGCTGAAAGGTTGCATTTTACTGTTTGTGCTTTAAATAAGATAGCACACTGTCACCATTTTTTGTTCTTAAGGTAGTCAGGTAGCCACTTGGCCTGCCTTGCAGCAATCTATTTGACCTGACTCAGTCTTTTCCAGTTAGAATCAGTTCTAAAGACATGTGCTCTAAAATGGATAACAGTGAAATATTAAGAGGGTATTGTAGCACCTTTGAGACTGAGAACAGTTTGTAGCATTAGCTTTTGTAAGCTGACAGCCTTATCGCACAAGAACACCAAAGCACAATAGCCCCAGGATAATAACACCTTTGGTTGACAACCTTTGCATAACATTGGTGCTATTTTGTGGTTGTAGCATGGGAAACTGTTTAAAAAGTGTGTTTTTTTAACAAACAGGGAAAAATCCATTAATGACCATCTTTCTCGCAGGTATCCAGTTTGATTTTTAGTGTGAAAGTTAAATTCCACTTTTATGGCAATTTGGGGGTAATGGGCATGCTATAGTCAGGGGAAATATGATCAGAGGAGAAGGGGTGGACATTTCACTTTGATCTTTTTCATTGCCAAATGACTATCGCTGCCCCCAGGCTTGTCAGAAGCTGAAGCTTTGATCACTACTCGCTTTCCCACACACACACATTGTAAGGAAAAGCTAAAACCGACTTACAGTCTAATAAAATAATTTATTTTCCTTTCTTGCCTTTTCCTGACTGTTTCTGTTCATTCAGATATAGTGATCACTGAATAGGGATAGATCAGCTAGGTAGCTCTGTAGCTGTTGAGTTTCATTTACTCTTTGATGAGTGAGGTCTGAGGTACCCAAACCCTAGGGGTGGTGTAGGTACACATACACACAGAAATGTAGGGGGAGAAACTTATGATTTCCATGTCTGTAGGGAGAATCTGTGTGCATGTGTGTGTGCAACTGGTGCTAAATACTGTGTGTGGATGTTTTTAGCATGAACAAAGGTTGCAATGATGGGAAATATCACAAATGTGTGATAGGGAAGGGCTGTCCTGTTTCCATTGAGCCTTTCAAAACAGTGATATTTACTAGGAGAGGAGGCCATTTTAATAAGGCCCAGAGTCTACTTTACCAGATGAAATAGACTCTGTCTGTGAAAGCTTATGCCACAAACTTCTTTCTCTCAGGAAACATACAACAAAACCCACAAAAGAGCAATAACTTTATTGGCTAACCAAAATGCAGAAAACACATCAAAGCTTCACTGGCTTCTTCATCAAGCAAAAAAGGTTAAAAATCATACTGGAGAAGAAAAGTGATTCTGTTAGAGCCACAGACCTACACTATCTTCACTGACAACAGAAATAACATCTGAGGCTAAGTGTAGGCAAACACAGCTATGTCTTTGAATGTTACCATCAGTGAAATGTTAAGCCTATGGAAGTGTTTTCCTCCCTACCCCCTATATCAGGGGTAGGCAGCCTTTCCCCTTTAAGGGCCGAGGAACTTCAGCTCCCAGAAGCCTCAGCCATGTTGGCCAATACTCCCATGTTGGCCAATAGATCCTGTGATTCTGGGAGCTGAAGTCCCTCGGCCCTTAAAGGGGAAAGGTTGCCTACCCCTGCCCTATATAAACATTAATGTGTTGTTTGGTTGTATCTGGGAAAGAATTATTCTGTCTACCTCTTATCACTTTCTCTGCCTTCTGTCTTTTGTTTCTTCATAATTTTTTTAAAAAATTCTGTCTTTGCTTGGCAGGAACTCCCTTCTTAAAGTGCCCTATCCATTGAAAAGTATATAAATAATAAATAAATTCATAAATACAGTATTAATACAGTGCAATAATGAATTGATTA